ATTATCATGTAAATTAGGTAATTAATATGCACGGATTTTTACCAAAAATTAATCAAATCTGCGCATATGTTCAGAGCATCTATGTACCAAGTTTCATCAAAATCCAATGAGTGGTTCTTTAGATATCAGTGGAACAGTCATAGAACAGCTAAAAATTAGCTAATTATCATGCAAATTAGGTAATTAACGAGCATGGATTTTTACCAAAACCTAATCAAATCTGCGCATTGGCCCAGAGCATCTATGCACCAAGTTTCATCAAAAACCGATGTATGGTTCTTGAGATAGCAGTGGAACAGTCGGACACACATACACACACACATACACACATACACACATACACACATACACACACACACACATACACACATACAGACACACTAACTGCAAAGACTCCCATTTTGTGCTTCGCACATGGGAGTCAAAAATATGTGACAAGACCATCCCGATTTGCCGTCGATTTCCGGATTCGGGTGCGTTTTATACAAGAAGATCGATACGAACTACACCGCCGAGTGTGGTAGACATAATCCTGATGGCAATAGGAAGTTCGAAAGGAAGCTAATACAGTTGATTTATAACACACGAATTACTAGTTCTTCTAGTAACTAGTGAAAGAGAACACTCAGAAGAACAGAATATAAACCGTATGATAAATCCCACTGCTAATACTTCACTTTTTTTTTATATCAGTTATGGTACATTAACAAAACTCATTGTGACTCATTATCATTATATGATGAAAAAAAAAAACACCCTCAGATTCGAAAAAAAAATCATTTTCATTGACATCTCCTGCAGAATTTCTGACAAAATATTTGAAGACAAACATGCTCATCTGTAAGGACATTCAGACAAACGGAACCCAAATTAATACTTCCTTTTCAGCTGCATCTGAAACGGAGAATAAAAACTTCAAATGCAATCATAGTACACATGCAAAGTAAACAAAATTATCAAGAGTTAATTGTAAAAAAAATACCATTTGTGGTGGGAATTGCCAAGCCAGTTTATATATTTTTGAACACATATTTTTGTAAATAACACAGACTGCAAAATAGGCCCATCAAGAGTGTTAATGGTAGAATATTTTATATTGAAATTTCTTTCAATTATAATTTGTTGTATTGCAATATACAGTACATTTTATATATAATATATACCGGTGGGGGGGGGGTATATACACACTGGTATATATATATATATATATATATATATACACATACACACATATATATATATATATATATCATTTAATTGTCAAGACTCGACTGTGATCATCACGCGTGTTACGGTTTGAGTGATTGCCATTTTAAAGTTAAACAATATCCCGTTACTTCTAAGATTGCAACAATTGTTACATGGTGATCGCGATCAACACGGAACTGCCACTGAATGTATTTTTCCACTCTAAAGTTATTTTGGTGTCATCGCACATGCGTAGTTTAGTCGACGTGTGTTTCAAGATACCCCGCGAGATTACTCTCAGTATGGAACGGTTTCATGTCGCCCTT